CCAAATGTTTGCCACGTTCATCATGGCTCCACTGTAATAACACACCATTACTCTCCTCCACACGTCGTCAATAGAGCTCAGGGAAAAAGGGTTTATTGTCAGCTTCTGTCGTAGCTCATGAAATAGTCAGAATACTGTTGAACAGACACATCAGCAAATGCCTTAAAATGAGTCATAATTAACTCGATTGTTGACTTAAGTTTTATCAGCTGCTTGAACCGTTTTTATCCCTTCATTGTCCATGGGGGAGAGGATTTGGTTGCACTGAGTGCCCATCACCCCAAATGAAATGGTTTCTCTAAAACGCTGTGTGTGGGCCCAAATAGTGTTAGATCATGGCTTAAAAACCCCCTAATCTGCAAAGTTGGAACACCTCATCATCCAACACGCGTCCCCTGAGAGGAGGCCGAGGCGCCTTTTTACTGATGGCTTTTATTAGTCCCTTACAGCCTCCTGCTCACCCGCTGCTTTAATTAAAGAAAAGCCCCACACGACTTCACCGTGGATGTCGTCAAGCTACGTCAAAATACAGCTGAAATTACGCTGATAAAGAGTTTGACTACTTTAAACTCCACGCAGTTATTCAGCAGCTATAATGAAAATTACAGTCACAGTTAACCACTGAAAAGCACACAATTAAGTTTGTACCTAGCTTAAGAACAGTGTTTATGTATTCAAAACAAACTATTTTGATTTCAGGAAAAAATAATAACAAAAATTACATCATATGAACACATTTTTCTAGACTACTAGTTCCTTCCGCTTAGCTGGGAACTTAACAACCTTTTCAGATGAGAGTTGTCTTCACCGTCCAGGAAGTCCAGTTGCGTTTGCTCAAGCCTTTTGGATTATTATGACCAGTATGACTTCAAATCTACACAAACATTTGCCATTAAGTTTTCGTTTGAGATCAACTACAGTCAACGAGGCACCATTCCACTATTTAATAGTACTAAACAAGTATTGGTCCGATGTTCATTTGTCTCAGAATCTCTGAAACACAATTGGTAGCTGAAGCCATATGATATCGTCGTCAAACTTTCATTCTCCCGGTTTTGCTATCACCTATGATGACCTTTCCTCTATGTTACTCAGACTAGTTGCTATCGTCCATAAACCCCCTGTAAAGAAGTAAATCCTACAATGCTCCGGTCATAATAAGCCAGTGGTGTGGAGTGCAATGTGATATTTACAATGGTTTGGCTCTTGGAAAGGGTCAAACGTAAATACCAGACCATCGTTCTTCTGTTTGTCGATCATTTCAGAAAGCGCCAACACGGAAAGTTAGAAACTTAAGACATTTTTTTTTGCTTGTTTTTTGGGGAAAAATTGTATCATAATTTCACCATCATAATTACAGGTTAAAGAGGTAAACACCACATTATCCTCAACGTAAGACATCTATTGGTAGGTTTTGAGTGCCAGTATGCTAGCACAATGGGCCAACCAGTAGCCTAATGGGATACCACTGATCATAAATCTCCACCAGCATGATGGATTGGTGTATTTCACCAACCTCAAGAGCTCCTTTAACAAGCATATCCCTTCTCGAATGAATGAACCAAACCCAATTACTTTCATGCTATTCCTGGGATATTTCTTTCCCACCACAGAACATTATCATTTATCACTCGTGAATATTTTCACCTGTCACACAAAGTACACAACCCATATTTATGGTGCAAACAGACACAAACTGTGATGAAGACAGACGAACGTTCTCTGCTGAAGGCTCTGTCGGGTTAAGGGCAAACAGACCAACAAAAGTGAGCATGTCCGCTGGCCTCCTCGAGATGTGAATGCGCTCCTTTCTCCGGCTCCACCTTCCTGCCTGTGCCTCATCTGGAGATCAGTGGATTGTGGGTGTTTTGACACCTAATGGCGTTTGGCCTTTTGGCCTCTGGTAGAGTGCGCGGTGTTGTAGTGTTTAGTCTGCATCGGGAAGATTAGCCGGTAACATCGGCGAAGACAAGGAAAGGCCAGTATCTCCACAAAGAAAGACTTTGTACCCAGGAGGCTGTGATTAGATCCCTAATCTGCTGCTGTGGTGGTCCAGAGGCACACATCCACGCAAGCGGATGCACACAGTGGCATCAGTAATCCATTAAGAGGATTTCCAAAGAGATGCTTGTGAGTAAAAAAGTAAAAATAGAAACAGAACAGCATTCTATACGCCAGGTACACCGAGCAGAAATGGGAACGTGCCAGAAGGTCTTCTGAGATCGCATAAAACCAGACTTGCCGAGTCAGATGCGAGGCAAAGCAGGTTTCAAAGGTGGTTCAGTTAAGTCACGCCAACGGAGTGGTGTCACTGTTCTCTCCGATTTACGGACAGCGTCTCAAAGTTCAAAGTGCTTCACACTTACTAATGGCAACCCAAAGCAATTATGTCCTTTTTACCCTCCTAAATGTCTGTTAGACGTTAATCAACTTAGCTTCGGCTCAGCAGAAAATGTGGATTTGTCCATTCGTCAGAAGTGGAGTTTTTTTTTTCCATCAGTACTTTTTTAAATTATATTATGTATCCTATGTCATTTTCTGTGAAGGGCAGCATTTATGTGACATTAGGCAAATCACAACCCATTAAAAGTGATCATATGCATTTTAAATAAGAGTTACAAGGAATACTGTTCCTTTAATATATCATTATGTACTTTAATTCGAACCATGCAGCGTTAGCTGTAATCTGAGTAGGAGAAAAGTAAGAAATGCAAATAAAAACATGCGGGTGAGACTTAAAAGAACAATCCCTATTCTATATATCTATGGACTTGCCCTTTCTGCCATTTCCTGCTTCACCGCAAACACTAACATTGGTCAAACGTTGTCATTGCTTGTGGCTGAATTAACAATAGAGCCTCAACTTTGCGAAGGAATACAAACTGGCAGCAGTGTCTGGCCTACGGAGCTGAAAGACAGAGCGAGTGTATAAAGTGACTCCTCCAGAGGGCTTAGTGTGAGAGGAAGAGAGCCATGCAAGATATTTGTTTTCCACTCGGTTGTGCAAGGATGGGGAAAACAGGGGGCTGTTGGCGAACTCTTTTGTGCATGGGAGAACTTGACTTGCCAAACATCCTAAATGTACCCACGGAAAACATTCCCCATAAAACTGCTTGGACATGATTAGGAAAAGAGAGGTTTCACAGCTAATCAAAAGCACCCCGATAGGTAGTTTAAGTGAAGCCATAACCAGTAGGGCAACGCTAGACAACTATTGCAATGTGGATGCATGATAGGGGAAACTCGCAAACTCTTGGATCTACTTGGCATATTTGTAACCGTTACTGTCTTTATGATGCATATACTGGAATTTACGGAAAGATCAAATATCAGTTTGCTCATTCATTTTTCTTTTTAATTTAGTTGTTACTTATAGCCAAAACTTCTCACATTACAATGCAATGATTAATCTAAGGCAGTCAGTCAGCCTATGAGCCCACAAATGACAGTTGACTGAGGTGGTCCCTCTCCGATCGGCCTTGTTGAAAGCAAAAACAAACATTTAAAACCACCTGAGAAAGGTTACAGGCAGATTTCCAGCTAAAGCGGGATGTGACTGAGTGTAGCCCTGGGAACGGCAGCCCTATCAGACACATCTATTGGTTACTGCTCAGGGAGTTCTAGCTTTCAGATCAGCAAATATCCATGAACATATTTGAGAGGAGGAGAGGTGTGTGTGTGTGTGTGTGTGAAGGATTGACGGGGTGTTTGCAGTGGACGGTCAGAGGAAATCAGAGAATAATTGGCCGGCTGGACTGGAGTCAGAGCGAGCCAAAGTAAACTCTAAACTGATTTAAACAACTTGATGAGTTAACTTATCTTCACTAGAGAGGGTTAGCGTATCCTACAAGCTTGGATAAGAGTTTAGAGCATCAAAGTAACCAACCCAGTAGGCTTTAAAAGTCCTTGATTTTCTGGTTTTGCTGTAACACATATTATTATTTGAGACTCTGTGGCTTTCATGCTTGATGGCCTATTCTGTTGTAAGATCTCCAAGGCTGATTTAGACCTCGGGTTACCACGGAGGCCCAAGCAGTTAATGAAATCTTACCACAACTATTTTTGCATAGTGAACTGTATATTGTAAATGCAAATAATGCCATCTGATACACACCATAACCGTACATTTAACAAAACATACTCTGTAACGATGAAGGCAAAAATACTGATTTATGAGCTCCTATGAGTGATACAATCTGCCATATAAATGTTGTAGTTTTTTTGTCTCATAAAATGGTTGTAACACTATGAGGAAAAATGAAAAACAAACTTCCACAGTTCGAGCGGGAATGTTCTGTCACTATTCACAATTTCTAAAACAACTTTCAACTTTCAAGATGTCTTGAGTTGAGATGATGTAATGAAAGTCTGAAAGTCATGAAAAGATGGTGGCTAATTGCGAGCTAATTTATCCAGGTTTTCGGTTCTAGGAGACAATTATAAAAATAAAAATATTAAAATGGATAGTAAAGTATAAACGAAGGAAATGAGATGCTGTCATGGATCTCCACTTTTTCCCCAGGTAAGGCTGTCATTATTGCCTTTTCTGCTGTCATTCTTCAGCTTTCCAGCAGATGTTCAAGTTTTATGATTCCAAAGCACTTTGGTTTTTATCATCCTATCACTTTCCCCACCTCTGCTGAAGAATAAAAACATGTCTGCTTTAGCTTCTGGCTTCTATGGGGCTGTATATTACCGGCAACAACTCTTAATGAGTCATTTCCTCTCAGCAGACTCCATGTAAGAAAAAGCTTCCGGAAGCAGTGGAATAATTATGACACACAGTTACAAGTATAGCTTTGACAACAGGGCCAATAAAACATGTAAAACAAAACAATAAAACACTTGGTTACAAATTAAATTACAAATTTAAGCAACGAATGGAAGAAATTCAATTTTTTTTGGGGTCCTTCATGACAGCTAATTGGAGAGAGAAAGTCTTGTAATTTAAATTAAAGATGTAACCTTTAATTAAAAGAAAAGATGCCACTGGGACTCACCTGGGTCTTCTAAATATGAGGCCGTACTGCTGGCAGGCCAGGCCCACCGTGGGGGTGTAGATGATGGGCATGAACCTCTCAACGTCTGAGGTTATCAGCCGGTAAAACAGCTTCTCGTTGCGGTCCTGGAGCCCCATCAGGAACACATATCTGCCAGCGTCAGAATACAACACGTCAATCTTTAACGTCCTAACTCTGTCAGCTAAGAAATGGCTTTTTTAAAATGCTTGGTTTTTAAATTCTCATTGTTTGTCAGTCAGACAAACAAGACACTGAGGAGGAATCTTAAAAAATGAATGACTTTTAATTTAAAAGTACATCCACATGGGTACAGTACAAGATGGATAGAATCTAGCAAACCGCAAAGGAGTTCAAACACAGACAACTTAAAAATGTGGAAAAAGAAAGAAGAAAAGAATGCTGCTCTGCTGCTCAACAATGACTTGTGAGGGGATTTTTTCTTAGCAATGAAATCAGCACTCAGATTGCTGACACAAGTCCTTTGTTCTGAAGACTGAGTGGGAGCTGAGAGTTTACCCGTGACAGAAATTAATCAGCGCAAAGAGCCCTATTTCTAATCAGAGGAGTTTCCACCAGGCCAGGAGCAGCAGGCTGCCTCTTGTTGAAGGGATAAAAAGCATGAACAGCCCCTCTGGTACAGGTTATTCCACAGCAGCTGCACGATACGTGGTGTTGACAGTTACACAAGGAGAAATACTTTCAAACAACTTACATTCTGTCAGATGCAGTTCAATCAGAAAAAGTATATCAGAGTATCTCACCACCATAAAGTAGAATCAGTATAACTGAGGATTAATATGTAGACTATGCTGCTACTTTTAGCTTTAAACTAACGTGCAGTATCTCTGTAAAGAAGTAAAAACAATAACTAAATCTTGTGTAGAAGAAAAGGATCTGATTTAGTTTTTTCATATATCACTTTAGTAGATTTTGTTGGGTTTGATTCAAATTTTAATAAGTACAGGCACTCGAAGGTAGTCCAAACCAAAAAATATAGACTGTGGTTTGTTAAGAAACAAGAGGAGTGTCAGTATCTCTCAGCCTGTATCAGTAATAAAACACAACAAAGAAACAGTGTTTCACTCTTCAGGGAACGCGCCATGATCTGAGGATTATGTTGGGAGTATTTGTTTTCTTTGATAGATTTTTTACGGCCCAGATATAATCCCAACACAGCAGAGATTGGGACGAGGGGGAGGATATAAGAGACTTGTGAGAAAGGTTTCTCAAAAGAGTAGCAAAGAACTTTTAACCAGTATGTAAATTCTTCCAATTAATCCAAGCAGGAAAAATACCTACAAATGATCAAAACTTTGAAAATCATTCAGCACTCTTTCATCATTTCAAAAGATTCTTAAGTCATTTTACAGGCTGACTGTCCTCAATATCCTCGACAACATTCTCTCTCTTTTTGCTTCGCCAGACTTCAGCTATCACTCTGACTCTGGGTATTTTCTAAAGCTAAATAGGAGATTCTGAGACGCTGCCATTAGGGTTATTATTCACCATCCATTGACACCCAACGTTTCCAACCCAGAACTAAATGTTCCTCCCCAGCCCTAAATCTCTTCATTAGCTGCTCTCCAGAACATCCCTGACATCCTTTACCCTCACAACCTTATCTGGAACTTCAGGTATTCTAACTCCGGCCTGTGTTCTGTTTCCAGCACCAGACTGTAAAACTGCAAAGACGAGGCTTTCCGTGATGCGGCCCCAACCCTCCGGAATGCTCTTCCTGCTGATATTAGCAGAACCTCATCATTGGACATCATCTGGTCATCATCAGCAGTTCATAGAAAGCAGTTTTGCTTTGTAAGCAGAGCTCCAATCTGGCACAGATTTGCTTTTCCACCAAGCTTTACAACAGCTGAATGAAACTAGACTTTTATCTTTTCATAATGACTGCTTTTATCTTTTCTATTTTAAATTTGAAGCGTCTTTTGATTGCATTTGAACTTTTATTTTTCCAGGACCTTTTTAACTGAAGACTTTAATACTCAGAAGAAGGAAAAAACTCTGTATGGCCTCTTAGAGTTACTATTAAATGACAAACCTTTTTCTGCCACTTATCTTTATGTGTAATGCTTTCAAAGCGACGGGGAAACTATGATAAGACAAACATTAACCTGTGTACAATGGGTGGAGGGGGGCTTTAAAGAACTGAAAAGAACAGGAAACTGCTGACAGCTGGGTTCGGCTAAGCACAAGAATAAACACTGAACTTTTTCCTTATATATTTTTCACTTTGTCAGTCACCAAATATTGACTGTGATCATGCCTGCTTTGCATTGCTTGCTAAAGCAGGATGCCGGCTTAGTTACTAAACACAGAGTTTCCCTTGATGTGATTCAGCCAGAAGGCCATCTGTCTGTTTCTTAATCAATCAAAGCAGGAGTGATCCACCAGCTCAGAATTGTCAGCCGGTTCTTAGGTCTGGTTCTGATCTGGAAAAACCTTCCTGGATGTGAAGTTTCCCACGACTATTTGCATGCCGCAGTGTTTTCATTGGCAGACCCTCGGAATATCAACTTCGGTCCTTGAGTCACTCCATCAGCTTCTATCATAAAAGCACGAGCACGCCGTGCTGCTCTCTTCATGCAATGTTTCTAACAATAAAAATAAAAGCAAATCCCATTGAACTACTTTTTTTATTGTTGCTCTAAGCTATCTGATAAAAATAGAATGGTTAGCAGTTAAAGTTTTGAGTAACATTTGATAAATAAAGGACTGCATCCACCATCAGAACCAAAGAAAGACTAAGAATTAGGGAGCAGACTGTGTGTAAACAAAGCAGTTGGATAGGGACAGGCAGAAAGCCCTAAAAATCTGGAAAGCACTCAGGCCTGGGAGACAAATTGTCAGTGACATTGACAGGGCATGGGAATGGCCAGGACTGATGCTGAGTCATCGCTATGCTTGTGAACGAGGCATTTGATGAGACACGCTCCAGCTCCCGTTGACACAAAATGTCAGCTCACACATCAGTCGGACATCATCTGATCGAGTGAAGGCATTTAAATGGGCGATTTCGTAACTGAGACCGTTATGAAAACAAAGGAAAACGGTGAGCTTATGGACAAACTCGGAGCAGATCGGTGAGATAAAGATGCAGGGTGTTGGCAGACGGATGCAAATCTCAGAGCGCGGACAGCTAATCTCCCTCTTGTGTTTTAAATCCAGACACAGGATCTCTTCCTGTAGCCACAGAGGATCAGCTCAAATTTAGCTCTGACGGATGCTAACGGCTAAAGTCCAGGCGGAGGCACCGGAGAGAGACGCGTCCGGCGGCGTTTGCCCCACCTGTCCAGGTCGTCCCGCTTCATGTCGTAGTTCTTCAGCACCCGGAACAGCTGGACGTCCTGGCTGACGAAGCAGGGGGGCAGCAGGCCGTGGATGCCCAGCTGGAGACGCTCCTCCATGGAGAAAGCCATGCCCTGCAGGCACAAACACACACACACAAACACACACACACACACAGGTTTTCGTCAGCCTCTGTCAGAACTTCCAACACATATATTTCTCAGGGAATTGTCCTTTGACTGGCGCCTGTGTTTTCTTAAAAACTTTTACGTCAAAGCCGGGAAAACTATGGAAATAAGTTTGTCTGGACAGGCCCGGATCCCATTTTACTCGCCTGTGGGAGGCATCCTACCCAAGCTCAACAACACTGCTTATTACCGCCTCAGCTATGAGATTTAACGGGACAGAAGAAACTATTTTTCAGATCTGTGATACAGGTGTTCACTAGACATTCCTTGGCAATGCAGATGGGAGAGATGGAAGCAGATTTCACCAAAACCAACAGTAGGGCAGTAAGATAGCCGTCAAAATCAAAAAAATTTATACCTTTAAAAGATTAAATCTACATACTGTGACTTTACTATGAAAGATCCAGTTGGTTAAGGGCTTAGATAAAAAAAAAACATCCAGCAATAGCAACATTACATCTGCTTGGAAAAGATCCTAAATGTCCAGAAAATGTTAGGGTCAAGTCACTGAGACAAACCAGGTCAGCTTTGAGGCATCAACTAAACTCCCCCTCCCACTCTAGTAATCTTAAGTTTACAGGCATTTGTCCAGGTTTCATGATTGGTTCTCACTCGGATGCACCGTCAAATCGGAAACCTTAAACAAACAAGCGGGACTTTGAAAGGCAAAGTGATGCATTCAGGTAAAGCCGGACTGAGCCGATGCTTCATGAGGGCCGCGGATGAAGACGGGAGTCAGCAGAACTCAGTCATCGGCCTGAAACCATCTCTGAAATCTCACTGTGGCCACAAACTGTCAGAAGGCTCCACCAGCTTTTCTTTTCTTTGGAGCTGAGATGAACCATGTGCGGCCCCTGTCATCGAAGCCCCTAAAAAACATGACAAAATGAGGAAATGTGGCCTAACACATTTGGTATGCAGTGTGTGTTTAACACCATTCTTTAATGCCACATGTCAACAAACGCACCCAATAGAAACAAGCGCACACCTGTTAGAGCGGACTATTGGCACACCTGAGCGCTTGACGTGACAAACAATGGAGTCGTATTGATGGATCTCAATAGAAACTCCAAGAACGAATGAGTTATTTTAGGACAAGGGCGATATTTGCTCACGGCCTGGTGAGACGTCCGCTTCCCCAAACGCACACCCTCAGCACACACGGATAAAAGGCCCAGACTAGTGCACTCTGACCTGGACCCGGGCTTTCATCCTGCCCACCTCTGACCCCCCCCCCCCCCCACCCCCCCCGATTTGGGACGTCGTTCCAGAGAGGAGACAATCAGCTGGCTCAGAACAGGTAACAGATCAGATCAGACGGCGTTGCCAGTGAGACTTAGACTCTTAAGCTTTGGGGGATTGGAGGAGATCTTCTTACTCTGCGTGAAACAAAAAAAGGTACCTGCCGTGACAAAGCCAGAGACTGACTGGATATCCACTTCCTACTAACTGCAGAGAGCAGACCAACATTCATTGAAGAAAATGCATCAAATCCTCCAGTAATCTAAATTAAAAAAGCATTAACTCAACTCAAGAGGTGTTGTAGTTAGTAAACAGTATTATGGACGACTGTGTAATAAATGAGTAAAGACATATCATAATAATATGGTAATAATATGGACATATCATTATTTAGCTTCAGTAATACAACAGATCACGTTGATTCAACTAAATCTCGTCAAAGATTTCTTACAGACCAGCATTGTATCCTAAAAAAACAGATTAGTAAATAGTAAATGGACTGAGTAGGTAAAACATGTCAGATCCGACTTTATATGATTACATATGGGATTAGGACTGATCGTCTTCGTTTGGGGTCATTAATGCTATTTGCACCCTTCTTAGAATGATGTTGCACCATTTTCATTTTCCCCAACAAACAAAAAGGAAAACCAGTGATGTAACCAAAGATCCTCCCATCATAAATTGAACAAAAACAAGATTACATAGCCCCACTTCATTGTGGAACAGCTAATCTGAAAAGAAGATAAAGAGAAAAAGTGGCACCCACAAAAAGTTAATCTGTGTGGTAGAAAATCTTTTATTTGAGACTAAAATTCGGCGAGTGAGGCAGTGAAGGGCTGGCTATTCTCAGTCCTCTCTCAGCCATTAAAATCATGCTTGGCCTAAAAAGTTTTCATGTCTGTTTTGGTTCCCACTAACACACACTCTAATAGTAATCAAACTGTTCTGAAACCATATGAAAAAAAGGCAGCGTGGACGTCAGATCATCTCGACAGAAGACAGACACAGTTTGTAGATTCTTTTAGGTTTGCATACCTATTTCAATAAAAGATCAAAGGGAAACATAACAATAATGGAGTAAATTGCTTTAGATGTAATGCAGTTAATCTTTTTAACAGTAAGAACTTTAAAGAAAACCACCAGAAACATGCAATTTCCCCCTTTGGCAGAACTTCAGAAAGGAGAAGCTTTTGTGTTGGGTTTTTTTCAGCGTCAGCAGAACAAACCGGCAGAGATTACTGCCAGGGCCGTGGAATTAAGAACGCTTACACTGTGAAAATGACAATTCACCTCACCAATCTCAGCAATTTAGCTGACAATATTAAATTAAGGGTTGACTGACAGGAAGAAAAAAAAGGGGGGGGTGCATAGAGTCCAGATCCGTCTGCTGTTAGCTGCGGCTCCATGCAGGCTATACTTAACAGACCTCAAAAAGACACAGGCTGCTTGGAATGACAAGCTTCCACCGATTGTGAAAAAAAAAAAAACTTTCTGAGTCCCGGAGGCCCATCTGTTCGCGACGGCCTGGTGCTTGTGGAGCTGCAGCTGGCCCACCGCTGCTCTGACCATTGAGGGACGTATGAGAGAGCCTTAAAATACACGAGGCGAGCTCAGCTCAGCGCGAGGCTCCAAACACAGGCTCTCTCTGCTCTTTCATTAGCCTCCCGCACACTGTGCTGCCTCTGATTTACTGGCCATCGACTTTTGAAAAAGAAACGCTCGAGTCAGGGACTTTCTTTCAAAGAAAACACACCTTATTGGTGTTGACTCGCGCTTCCTTTGGGACAAACGGCTCTCTCATGGCGCAGATGAACCCCGGCAGATTTGCACACAAGCGACGCTGTAATTAACCCCCTCATGACTCCGTGTTTACGTTTCACTTTTTGGGAGCGTTTCCTGCTCTCTGGCTTTTCACATTAGATTTTTGTCACCCGTCGCTGCAAATTTTGCACCTGGGAGGACTTTGGAAAGACGAAAAAACAAAAAATTTGAGTGAGCCTCGATGACCCAATAAATCAAGTGAGATGACTTTGAGTTTGTTGTTTCTTTACAACTGTGCTAGGTTTATATTTTTGGACCAGTAAGTAATCATATCCACCCTCTAACCTCTCTCATGACACAAGTAAACGGAATCAAATACCCACATAACATAAAAAGCCCCCCTCCCAGCATACAATGCTCATGAGTTAAAACTTGAGCAGGTTTCTTTGTGAACCCTCTTCAGAACAAACCAAATTTGAGGAGGTGTTTGCTGTGTGTTCCTAAATAGTAACAGTTTAACAAATGAACTTGAAGCATTGACGCAGCCTTGAATCTTCCAGTTTGTTGGTCATGTCGTAAATGACACTGTGAACTGATAAGCTGTTAAAATGACAGCGGCGGGGGTCTGAACGGCTCGTTCTTCCAGTGCTCTGACCTAACCCTGCTACACTTTAAAGCTGAGAGAAGACTTAGTTGCTCATACAATGCTACAAATGCAGATAAATCCAATACAGTTAGCGAAAACCCAATTTTTTGGAAACACATTGGTTAATTTGATTGATAAAGATCCGAGACTTTTGTCTGAAATCAGCTCTTCCAGTCAGTTCAAAGGGATGTCTGATGAAAATGGAAAAGAGATCATCTTCAATAACCAAGTGTGTGAAAGTAGAGTCTAAAAAATGACTACATGAAAACATTCAATTGAAATGTATTCTCTCTTTTTAAAAAAAAGAAATTCAATCGACGAAAACTTTGAAACTCACACAGAATGTCTTAGTCAAGTGAGCGTTTGGTAGATTTTAAACTGCAGCAAATCCAAAACTTGTATTGTTGCCTTACAATATAAGTTACATCCACCCCAACATCTCATTAAAAAAAAACAACCTACACCATACCCACACAGACGGTCGCATGGGGGCAATGTGGTTTCTTTGGCGGGGACCTTTTGACTTATAGACCGAGCAACAGCCGACCTTCCAGCTGCAGGACGGCTTCTCGATGACTTCTAGATGACTTACAGTTTGCAGATAAGTGGTAAAGAAATGAACATAAACAGGGCGCAGAGCGTCGCCACCCTTTAATGTGAATGCCATGCTTCGTTACAAACGATTACCGAGGGCCCAAAGGCTGCTGGTCTCGCATGTGAAAGGGATGCCCACCGGCCCAAAACGGCCAATTAACATTCCGATGGAAGGAGCGGACGGCCCGGTTGTCCAGACGGGCATATCCTGTGCTGCAGGGCGACTTTGTCATTAAGCTCCTGGCTGATGAAGTCGGGGCTGGGTGGTAATGAGAGAGAGGGAAAAGAGCAGGATGGTGGTTGGGCGGATTGGACGAATGGAGTTTCATGCCCCAAAAGATCAGAGTTTGGCTGAGACAGCGTGGGAACTGCTGACACCATTTTGACGTCTCAGACTTATTCATTAATGACTGGCTCTTCAGTGGTCCTGTCAACCTCTTTCTATTTCACAGTTCCGCTTGACGCAATAGCGGCGATTCAAGAGAGGGAAAAGCCTTCGTCTTACCACTTAAGAGGTCAAAATGGTTTCACGCCAACCTTATTTGATTTTCAACCTTTTGCAATGTTTCCTCAGAGATGGAAAAAAACAGTCTAACCTGCCCTCATATAGTGTCGAGAGCCTGTTAATTGGACCACAAGCCACATGCTGGCTGTGAATAGAATGCGAGAATTTAACTGTTTGAGGCGTGCGTATAGCTTTAAAAAGAAAAATCTATGCTTTTCCTGGCTGTAACTTTTGGTTTATGTACTTCAAAACCAAATCGTGGTGACGAACATATATTCTGTGACACACATCCAAAGCCAAAACCTTAACTAAAGAACACACACGCACACACACGCGAATACACATAAACCCTCCCTATGTTTGTTTGTCTGAATACAGGTTTCTCGACGCTTGGCTGCCGTCGGGCCTCCTTCCCACACGGAGGGCTGAACTGGGCAGGGCAGGGCAAACCCTTTGAAAAGCTCCACATGGCACTGACCACATCTGAAAGTGCCCGCGCCCCGTGCCAACACATGCCCGTGCCCGCAGCCCTATGTTCCAGGAGCCGGGGCAGCCACCTAGACCTGTAATCGGGGGCGGCTGGGCAGTGCCTTCCCTTAACCTCCGACTGCCGCCGTGCCCGACCCCAAAAAAACGCTTGGCGGAGAGAGGAAGCAGCTAATTAGTTCGCCAGATGGCCAAACAAGACGGATGAAAGCACACACGCTGATAAAGTGGCTTTTTTGTTCTTCCCGGGGCGTTCAAAGCAACCTTTCAGTGTGAAGATTTAGAAACTTAAACATTGTGCTCCCTCAGCCTTTTAATCTTCCAGAGTCGAGGCCACATAGAGCTCTGTCCAATACCAAGCCCCCAAGCGGGCTGACAGTAGGGCCACTCCCTTCTATGCAGAAATTCCTTAATGCCACCCGAGTAAAAAGCCTTCTTATCACTGTAACAGCTCTGAAATATGTCTCCCACGCTGTTTTGCGCCCGACAAAAACGTCTCCGGTTTCACTTTCCGTGTGAAGATTATGAAGCGAGTCGGACGGCAAATTACAAATAAGAGAGAAAAACTAAATCAAAGTAAGTGGTCACATTCAGCCTGACGTAAAAGAGCCTGGGTCAGAGTTGTCATTAAAACAGATGTGTCCTCCGGGGTCCCACATGAGCGATTACCTCTATAAGGCTATGGCCGACACAAAAAGTTTCAAAGCTTTGACCTTTGCCGTGCAGCTCCACGTCCACGTTAGCATTTGATTTGTTGAGGATATCAAGCATCTGGGGCAAATATCTAGAGTCTGAACTATGTCAAAGGGGTTCTTCAAAGGCTTCTTAGGAACTGAACTCTAGGCCAAGAGGTGAAACCTCTTTAAGATCCGAGAAGTCCAGTTGCCTTCACCAAAGCTCTTAGGGTTAGCGTGACCTGGTTGCCTGAGAATCTACACCAACATAAATCAAATGGGGATGACGACATCTGTCACG